CATGTGTATGAGTGTTTTGCCTTCATGAGTGTGTACCACTGTGTGCAGTGCCTGAGGAGTCCAGGAGAGGGCGTCAGATCCAATGAAACTGGAGTTACAGCAGATAGAGCTGTGATGTGGGTTCTGGGAACTGAACCCAGGTCCTCTGGGAACTGAACCCAGGTCCTCTGCAAGAACAATAAGTGCTCTTACACTGAGCCATCTTCTCTAGACTCTGAAAATGTTTTCTTTAAAAAAAAAAATTCTACAAGGCTAGCTGGCTAAAACTTCAATATTTTATAGACTAGAAAGAAGGTTTGAAAGTTCAGAACTCAATTATCCTGGCTTATCTTTGGTCTCTAATATCCATTCGTTGCCCACCCCTATGTCTGACTTACATTCTTGTGACTATAAGTTAAAACTTTTTGGACTATATTAACAGGCCACTGGCTTCCACCAGTTCAAAAGTTGAGAATATTACAAGATAGTATTTGAAACCTATAGTAGAGATTTCTCCATTTGTTGAAACCCATCTTACCTGATGTTTCCATCAATGTATTTGAAAAATGCCTTGATTCATAACTTACTGTTTGGTAACTACAAAAATTTGATGAAAGTTTTCATGTTGGAAATGTTGTTCAGAGCAACATGGGTAAGGGCTACCCTTTACTTGCGTATGTGTACCGTGTATGCTTGGTGTCCCTAAGGGCAGAAGAGGATATTAGATCCCCTCAAACTAAGTTATAGCCCTGTGGGTGTTCAGAACCAAACCTGAGTCCTTTAACTGCTAAACCATCTCTCCACCCTGCACGCCCCCCTTTCCTTCTTTTCATGTCAGGTTTATATGGTTCTTTTTTCCCCTCTGGTTTCCTATGGTAGATGCTTAGATTGTTGAATTTAGATCTTGTGATAGTCTTTGTAGCGTATTATATACAAGTTTTTCCTGCTTATAGGAATAGGAGAAGGGACACCTATGAGCAGAAGATATTTGCATTTTATTGATTTGACCAGCTGACAGTTTAAGTTAGTATTAAGTACCCAATTATAGAAATTACTGAATTATAAGGTGTAAATTAGCTTTGATGAAGAGATTACAAATGAAATATTTTCACTGTTATTTCCTTTGAACTTAAAGTGTGTGTAGGATCTTTATTTTTCCTTTTATTCTATTCTGTGTATTTCCCCAGAATATTAAAATGGTCTCTTGATAATTTTGAGACACACACAAACATGTACAAGCTAAGGTGGACAAATGAAGGTCAGAGGACACCGTGTGGGGATTGGTTTTCTTCTTCTACTGTGTGGACCCCAGGAATTGTGCATCTTTACCCGTTGAGCTGTTTTGCTGTCCTCTTTAATCCTGTTATCCTTAATTGTCTCATGAATAATTGATTATTGCTTCTTTCTAGAGAATACAGTATGCTGAAGACAATATAAAATTACTATATTCGAATTCTTGAGAAAGTTTAAGATCATTAATTGAAGGTGATTAACTTATCAACACATTTCAGGTCCAAGATAATTACTATGATGTGGAGAACATATATTATTACTTTATCATTTCTGTTAGAATCTCAGTAATATTTTCCTGTGGTTTAACATGGAACTAAACACTTTCTGATTTAATATGAATTTAGGTTAATTCAATTTGTAAGAAGTTGGAAACAAACACAATGGGTTCTAATAAAAAAGGCTAAGGATTAATTAATTCCTTAGCGATTTGTGTAAGATTAGCAATTTTATTCCATACCCAACGGGTCATTTCTGGTCTTGAAACTACTAGCCTAACTAATGTTTATAAAGTAATATTGAGTTATTTGCAGACATTTTTAAAAAAGTACTGCTGACTCCTCACCAGAGGAGTTACGATAAAGGTGAAGAGTCCATAAAGTTGTTCTCTGACTTTCACATGCGTGTCTTGGCTCATGTACCACCCTACACACGCACACACACAGTAGTAATAATTAAAAAAATTAAAGTAGCCCATTTAAAATGTGGGGCAAGGTGCTAACAGCAGCAAGAGGGCACCGCACACCTGTAAGAATGGCGAATAGCTAAAATAATGACCACAGTCAAATACTAGCAAGAACAGAAAAGAAAGGAAGCCTCACTCATGCTTAGTATGAATGCAAGGTGGTCCAGCCACATTAGAGAGCAGTGTGGGAGTTTATTAAAAGACAGGATTATCATAAGATTAGCAATTCTTCACATAGGTGTTTTCTCAAATGAGCTGAAATTCTGTGTCTGCAGAAAAGCATTTACATTGGTACTTTTTTTGCAAAATAACCCAAGTGTTCATCCATGAAGATATAAATTAGAATTTTTAAGGAAAATTTCATGGGTTATTATGTAGAGACTATTATACAGAGAATTCTTCAAATTATGAGTTTACGCATTTGTGCTTATTGGAATCACATAGGCTGTCATTATTAGAGATATTAGAGCAGTAAATTCCTCAATTTAGAAACATAAAGAATGACATCTGGAAGCAGAAGAGTTAAATGCTTTGTGAGAGATAGTAAATTGTAAGGCCAGAGTTAGAAATAAGACCTCTCAATATTAAGTCTCTCTCTCTCTCTCTCTCTCTCTCTCTCTCTCTCTCTCTCTCTCTCTCTCTGTCTCTCTCTCTCTCTGTCTCTCTCTCTCTCTGTCTCTCTCTCTCTCTCTCTGTCTCTCTCTCTCTCTGTCTCTCTCTCTCTCTGTCTCTCTCTCTGTCTCTCTCTCTCTCTGTCTCTCTCTCTCTCTCTCTCTGTCTCTCTCTCAGTGAATTTACACACACACAAAAATAAATGAGTTGTATACTTTAATAATGGTATCTGATAATTACAAACATAGCTGGCAGAGATTTATCGTTTGGGCAGAGAATTAATAAGATTAATGCTGTAGATATCTGGAAATGTGGTCAGTTCAGATTCAAGAAAGTCAGTGGTTATATGATTCTCAGTGCTGTCTTATTTTTGTTTTGACCATGTAGCACTATTAGGAGCGCTGCTGTGTAAAGATCTCAAGACACCACTTTCATTCTTTGGAGCATATACTCAGTAATGGCATGGCCATATCAAACAGTAATTCTATGTTTAATTTTTTTGTTTTGTTTTTCAAGACAGGGTTTCTCTGTGTAGTTTTGGTGCCTGTCCTGGATCTTGCTCTATAGACCAGGCTGGCCTCGAATTCACAGAGATCCACCTGGCTCTGCTTCCTGAGTGCTAGGATTAAAGGCGTGCACCACCACTGCCCGGCCCGTGTTTAATTTTTTTAAGACACCACCACATTATTCTGCATAGTTCTATACCATTTCATATTCCACAGAGATTTTAGTTTCTCTATGTTCCTGTCAATGAGTATGGTCTGTGTGTACATAACTATCCCAAAGGATATATGAAGTAGCACGTCATTGTGTTTTGACTTGTGTTATCCTAATTCTTAGTAACCTTGAACATTTTTCATTTACTTATTGGTCATTTATAAATAGATAAATGCTAATGTGTTCTTTCCTTGCTTTTATTTTATTTTATTTTATTTTATTTTATTTTATTTTATTTTATTTTATTTTGTTGCTAAATCTTTGAAACCTTTGGAATTATCCCTGTTCAGTGTATTGCTCTTGCCTATTTGGAAGTTGAGTCTTTACTGTCTTGTAAATACTTTCTCCTTGCTTGTTATCTAATGTTGGTTATTTTACAGTCCATTTGGTTTAAAAGATTATATACTATAGGTATATTCCTTAGGGTCAGGAGATATGTTGAGTATCAAGTCAGGGCCTTGTGCTTCCAAGGCAGACGCACTGTCACTCTACTACTCTGTCATGGCTATAATTATTAATGTTGACTTCATAATTGACTCTGGCCCTTTGTTGCTACCTGAAATATTTGTAACTAGAGAACACGTTTTTCCCTTGCATTTTGAAATTTAACTAGGGAGTATTTATTTAGCACATAACCTATACAAATATATATTATACATGCTTTTTTATGTAGGCAATTTTTCTGAAGTTAAATACATGAATGTATTATTTTAAATAAAAATTAGAATCCTGCTAGCCATGGTGGTGCACACCTTTAATTCCAGTACTCTAAAGGCAGAAGTGAGGGGATCTCTGAGTTCAGGGCCAGTGTGGTCAACATAGCAAGTTCAAGACCAGCCAGGGCTGCATAGTGTAACCTTGTCTCAAAACCAAAACAGCCACACACACCCCATCCCAGAAAAGGTTGAGATCCTTTGCAATATAGCAAATCTTAAAAGTTTTTTCTTATAAAAAATTTTAAACTGTGGGCCTGGGGATATAGCTCAGTCTGTAGAATGATTGCTGAGTATGCAGAAACCCTGGTTCAGTCCCCACTACCACATAAACTGGCATGGTGATATAGTGTCAGGAATCCTTATCTATATAGTGAGTTCAAGGCTAGCTAGAGTATGTGAGACCTATCTCAAAGGAAGAAGTCATGAAAAGGATGGATTTTGTGCCTAACTACTTCCAACTTAATAGTTCTGTTTCAATATTCAGGCCTTTTTCAGTTTTGTAAAAAAAGATAGTGGACTAGACTAACAACAGCAGTTAAAGTAATCATACAAATAATTTTTACTTACATTGCTTCTAGATTGAGAGTGAAATGAAGAAATTGTTCTTATAACTGAGCCCCCCCACTTTCCTGATGCCATCATTTAGGAATCAGCATTCCAGCACAGTTGATAGATGCTGTTTTGCATGTTTTCGCCTAGTCTTGACAATCCAACCACTGTACCCTCAGAGAGAGCAGTCCAGTACTTGTCATTGGTGCGCTTTTTGTGAGAGACTGACAGAAAGTGCCGCCTGTTGTGAACTGTCAAGTGAGAGTTTGCCAAAACCTCAGCAGACAGAACTAATTGGGCAGAAAAGGGGCTTTTGTGCTGTCTTCTCTCTCTTTCCTTTCCTTTCATTCAGAAGAAGACAGAACTGTTAGAGTGGCGTGTTTATGTGGGTCTGTCTGCATCTGTCTTGGCATGGCACAGATCACTCTCTAACTCCAGGTCTTGCACTGCAGGTTGTTGAGCTCATCCACATGGAAGCTGGCACAGGACCAGACTCAGGACACACAGCTCATAACAGTTGATGAAAAACTGGTAAGGACTCCTACAACGTGCTGCCATTGGGTTGTTCTGTACCATAGATTATTCGGTTTAATGTTCTAGTTCTAGGAAAGTTATACACAAACCTTAAGATTTTCACAGTAAAATAAATTGAATATTATATGCAAACATCATATACTAATACTAAGAAAATAAAGGTTTCTATTTTTGAAATGCTGATGAGTAGTAATTGGAAGTCTTATTTTGAAATATTCTTTTTAAATTTTCTAAATTACTTTTCTGTTTAAGTTATATGATACTAGTGCTCTCTAAATTAAATATACTGGGTTTTTCTAGAACCATGCAATGTTATTATCACTGTCTGTTTGTATGTGTGCCCATAAATATCATTTCTGCATACTAAGGAGTTAAATTACAGCTAACAACAAATGAATAATAATATTTTTCCATCATCAGTCAATAAAATAAAAATATCCTCAGTGTTTAGATGCTGTTTGATACAAAGGCTCATATTATACAACAGCACAATGTTTGTAATGTTTTCAAGACTACTGGCACAAATATATAATAGTAAAATAAGTATGCATTTCATTTATTATGTGGTTTATGATATAAATGGAAGGGTCTCTTAATTACCCCCTCCTAGGCAAGCTTTCTACACAGAGCTCTACCCCAGGACCACCTGTCCCATTCTAATGATGGAATGTTTTATCACTCAACTTTGAACCTATAAGCACGATCCAAGCAAGCCATTCTGAAATTCCTATTTATACTACTAAAGATAATAGATGGCTAAATAAATAGAAAAGTAAGCAGATAGTTTGGAAAATTTATGTCTTAGACCTCAGGCTAACTGACTTTTATTCAGATGTCTGGTAGTCCTATCTGTTGACCCTGCCATCATCTTGGTGTAGACAGTGTCATGTGTAGATTACTGCAATAATGTCATAATTGGTCTCCCCATGTATTTCAGTCTCCTTCTGGTTCATTTTCCCCAGGATAGTCAGAATAGATTGTTTTGTTTTGTTTTGTTTGTTTTTGAGACAGGGTTTCTCTGTATAACAGCCCTGGCTGTCCTGGAAATCTCTTTGTAGACCAGGCTGGCCTCAGTCTCACAGAGATCGGCCTGCCTCTGCCTCCTGAGTGCTGGGATTAAAGGCATGCGCCACCACACCAGTGAATGTTTTTTTAAATGTTGGTTTGTCACCTCTTGTGTATAATCCTCTGGCGGTTTCTATTGCCCTAACAGTTAACTTTAAAATCCTGATGGTCTCCAAGACCTTGCATGATTTAGTTCCTGTCTTTCTGTCTAGGTTTGTTTTGTACTATTTGTTTATAGAGTATTCTGTAGACATGGAACTTGCTATTCTTTTTTCTTGCATTCTGAGTTCTTGCTTCCCTACCCAGAAGCTTTGTACTAACCCTAGGTCTTTATTCAGTCGCCATCTATTCATTTTAAAACATAATTAATTGTACTTGTTTAGGCAAGAATAAAAGAAACAAGGCAGTTGTGTGTAACAGGAACAAGTCTTTCCTATGACATGTATTCTAATCATTAGTTAATGACAGCACTAGTGTTTTAATTTCCCTCTGACCATCTCATTGGAACACAGAGATTAGCTTATTGTTACAGTATTACTGATTATTCACATTTTATAGAATTTATTAATAGTATTTCCTGGGTCTTTCTATTTTAAAGACTCAACCAATTTGTATATTACTCCAAACCAGCAGTTCTCAACCTATGGGTCATGATCTTTTGGGGGTCGAATAATCCTTTCATAGGGGTCACATATCAGATATCCTACATATCAGGTATTTACATTATGGTTCATAACAGTAGCAAAACTACAGTTGTGAAATAACAATAAAAGTAATTTTATGGTTGGGGGTCACCACAACATGAGAAACTGTTTGAAAGGGTCACAATGTTAGGAAGGTTGAGAACCACTGCTCTAAACAAACCATTGAGGTATTTAGACTGCTTTAATGTGATGCTTTCAGGTAACATGCCACAAAATCAGTTGTACTGCTGATGGATTTTGCTCTACATACATTTCCCCCCAGCATTGTTATTTTCCTTGAAGTATGTCAGTCAAATGCCAGTACAGTATTCTAGCAGAAATCAGCTGAGTTCCTGCACATAGTCACAGTTGGAGGAATATTTAATATGGATGACCGAACCCCTAAATTAGAGTTTTAGCTATTTATTTTTATATTTAAATAAATTTTATATTATTATAGCACTTAATAATCTAATAGACAACAAAATACTGCTAGATTTTCATATCTTGTTCTTACACAGCTTCTGAAGAAAGGCTAAATAAGTAACATAATGAGAAGGTCATGGGCTCAGAAGAGCATTCACAAACACAGAGAGAGTGTTTAGAATCAATTATGTTTGCATTTGAGCAAACAAAGATTGTTATACATATATTCTATATGTATATGTCAACATTAATGATAAAAGTAGTTCAGAATGTAAATACCATGACTATTTTAAAGGATGTGAAACTATCACTTTAATATCACTATTATAAATAATATAAAGTAATATAAAACAATTTATTATGCCTGGTGCCACCACTTTTCCCAGCACTCAGGAGGCAGAGGTAGATGGATCTTTGAATTAATGTCAGCCTAGTGTGAGTTCGAGGCCAGCCTGGTCTACAGAGTGAGTTCCAGGACAGTCAAGGCTGTTACACAGAGAAACGCTGTCTCAGAAAACAAAAACAAAAACAAAAAACAAAACAAAACAACAACAAAAAAAACCAGTAAGACGGACTAGTAAAATGGTTCAGTGGATAAAGATGCCTGCTACCAAGTCTGATGACCCAAATTTGATTCCTAGCTTCTATATGTTGGAAGGAGAGAAGGAGTACCTACAAATTGTCCTGTGACCATCACCTAAGGTATGCATACATAAAAACATTCCAACACATTCACACACACACACACACACACACACACACACACACACACACACACTAAATGAATTAAAATGTAACAAAAATTTTAAAGAGGTATAAGCCTTAAAGGAAAAAAAGAAGAAAATGATAAGACACAGATAGTTAAAATATATTTGTTAAATGTATTTAATGGAAATTATATCCAGAAAATATATGCATCATTTATGTCAGCCTCAAAGGCTACATGCTATGTAGTTCCATTTATTTGATATTCTAGATATTGGAAAACTCTGGGAATAAGAAATTTATTAGTGGTTAGCAGGGCTGGATGTGGGTCAGGAAGAATTAAATCTAAAACAAATGAGGACATTTTGGAGAGTGATGTAACTATTCTTGATTGAGATGGTGATCCTCATGTGAAAACCCATATTTTATTGTTTTGTGAAATAAATAAGAATCCACAGAACTGTACAATAACAGTAGCACATTTTTCCTGTTTCTAAACTATCAGTTCTCCAAAAGGGTATGAAGGTCACTTCTTAAGCTTTTTAAAAAATTAACTTGTGTCAGTTGTTCTGAGGTCTTTCCAAATCATATGTAGGACATGCCATCTTCTACTGGTCAGCCCTCTGTATACTGAATTTGCTGCCAGCTTTTGAATCTGTTAAATAAAGACCTTCTTAAAGGATGGATGTAGGAGTGCCTAAAACTTCTTTAGAAGGTGTACAAAGTGAATTATTTTCACAATTGTACCATCTTTAAATGCCCTTCTCACTGTGTTAATAATTTACAAAAAGAAAAAACTGCCAGGCGGCAGTGATGCGCGCCTTTAATCCCAGCACTCGGGAGGCAGAGGCAGGTGGATCTCTGTGAGTTTGAGGCCAGCCTGGTCTACAGAGTGAGATCCAGGACAGGCACCAAAACTACACAGAGAAACCCTGTCTTGAAAAACCGAAAAAAGGAAAAAAAAAAGAAAAAGAAAAAGAAAAAACCCTGAACAATCAGGGGGGTGTTTCAGGTCATTAAATTCTTCTGTTCTTTGTGGTCACAGTTTGAAAAACAAGAACTAGTTTATGTGAGGAAACAGTGAAAAATTGGTAAAAATTTTAATTTTAAGTATGCATAGACTATTTATTTCTGTTACCATAGCACAGTGGTTGTCCTTAGAAAAACCATGTGTGCTTTAATATTGCTGCAGGTGTAATTGGCCACTTTTTATGGTACAACTTTTAATTGAAACAACATCAGACAACAGACTGGGGGTCTTATTTGGTCACAAGTGTTTGGCAGACTTTTTTCCAAAATGAACCTACTAACTTCAAGAGAATGTAGTCCGTGGTGAACTTGAGCTTTTAAGTGAAAATTATTATTCTTTTTTAGTTAAAACACACTTCTGGTGTGCATGTATGGATGTCTGTGGGTGTAAACGTGTGTGCCCGTGTGTGGCTGTAGTGTGAAAAAGTGCTCCAGAGGTGGGCAGTGAGCCTCAGGTGTGGCTTCAGGTGTGTTGCTCAGGCATGGCCTCAGGAGCTGCCCACCTTTGTTTTGTGATAAGCTCTTTTGCTAATTTGGCTCTGGTAGCTGGATACAAGTCCCAGAAATCCTCCTGCCTCCACCTTTCCTCTGCTGAAATTACAAGCACACATCATATTTGGATTTTTATGTGGCTGCTGAGGAGCGAACTGAGGTTCTCTTGCTTGCTTGGCAAAAACTTTACTGACTGAACTATCCTGAAAATTATGATTTTTATAGATGTTGGTTCTGCTGCTGACCTGATTAAATTTGATGCTTTTGTAGTGCTTCAATCCTATTTCAGTGTGTGTGGAATTTTTAGTAACAAATGTGATTTTTAAAAATGTAATTAATAATGAAGTATGTTGGGAATATGTATTTGGAATATATGCATACTTCCATGAATCAGTATAACCAATACATGATGATTCGTGGGTAAAATTTTAACGATAACACAATGAATTATAACCAGATATGAAGCTATTAGCATTATTAAAGAATTGGTCTTTCTGACTAATGTCTATGAGAAAATGCATTGTTTTCATGTATTGCAACCAAAGCACCTACTATTAGAATGTATGGACAGATGTCAGAATTCATCAGCCTTTTTCT